ATTCAGTGGATGGGGATTATTAGGAGACTATGATTGGCAAGGGTCAGTGGAGGGAATTTGGCCAGGACACACCCCTACTCTTTAGAGAACCCACACAGACCACAGGGTGAGCACCCCCTGCTGGTCTCATTAGTATCTCTTCCAGCAGCAACCTAGTTTTCCCAGGAGGTCTCCCATCCAGGTACTGACCAGGCTCAACCCTGCTTAGCTTCAGTGGGCAACCAGTCTTTGGCTGGAGGGTGATATGGCTGCGGATATAATGAGATGTCTTTCTCTTTTTTTCACTCCCACCAGATGTCACTAATCTGCCTTCAAAAATTGGATTTTAAAAGCATCGTCTCCATTTTAACATGAAATACTGCCATAATTGAAAATAATACAAAAATACTCGAAAAAAGTATTATTTTCAATGGGGGAAAAAAAATCATAATTATTACATTAATATTAATTATTATCATGAAAATCTCTCAAAATACAAAACAAAAAGAAAACAATATTATTGAACAAAATATATTAGATCAGTTATATTAGACATTAGATGTTCACGAATATATGTAGAATAAAATAAAATGTTTTTGTATTGTATAATCCATACAAAGCATGCTTGTGTTTATGACTACAAAATCATGTTTTTTTTGTTTGTTTTTAGGAGTTGTGAGTGGGCAACATTAGTGATTGCTAATGCAATAATAGAATTGCTCCTGATATCAACATGCTAACAGATGTGGTTATTAATTTATTTTTGGTGACCAGATACATTGAAGACTACACTTCATATTGTTTTTCTCTGAGAGTGCTGTACCAACATCAGAAGTCGTTCAACTACATTGGGCTGATATTCTACTCATATATGGTCAAATAAGCTCCATGACTACTGATAATAGGGCTGTTTAATTCTTGAATCCATGGAAAGCAGCAGCAAACAGATTGGAAATACCAGGTAAGGTTAACTTGTTTCAACAGTTGAACAGGATCTGTTCAGAGGAATGGCATAAAATCTTTGCCCTCGCTAAAATCTAATGCTGGTTTGCCAGAGCTGTTCTTACCCATTCAATCGCAGCCATCAGTGCATTTATGGTCTGGGTTGAAATCAACGCAAAGTACACAACGATGTACAAGACAAGAAATCAGCCTTCTCAGACCGTCCAGTGTGTTAAAGGCACAGAAAACCCACTGGTTCAAATGAAGGACAGCGATGAATGCCTAGACATGCAAATAAGGAAAATGAAACCACCTCTGTATAACGGCATGGCTCAGTGCCAAAGGTCAAGACTTCTCAAGGCAAGACTTCTCTAGAAATAAATTCTGCCTGACATCACACAATGACCTGGATGACGAAGCACCTTCAAAGCAGACAGGAAATCCAATGTTGAGACTTGTTGAGAGAGTTACAATGAAGTCATTTAGTATCTAACATTAATGCTTTAGAGGACAGGAGGTAGAGCAAATATCAAAAGAAAAGCAGTTGTAGAATATTTAGACATGTCTAGGACAGTTTAGATTTCAACAATGGGCCCTACTCAATATCTTCAAAACAAAACTTAACAGAGGAAACGGAAGTTAAATCAAACGCTTCACAAATGAAAGTTTAAAATATCAGTATCTGTGTAATCGACAAAGACACATACAGCATTACTAAATGGTTGCATTAATGAACTTTGTGCTAAAATGTGTTCAAACTTGTTCAAAATGGTTTGTATATAAACAAGGGTCTTCCACAATGTAATACTCTTCAGAAGATGAAACTCATAGCCAATAGTGATTATCGGTGTAAAACTTACACTTTCAGAACAAAAATTCATATGGACTATAGGGACTTCAGTGGGCTGTCTTTTTGAAGTTTTGAAGAAGAAAAAAAAAAAAGAAGAACTGCATGAGGATTCTTCAAAAACTTTCCATTTGTGTTCTCCAAAAGAAATACACATAGGTTTGAAATAACAAGAAAGTAAATAAATGACAGAATTTTAATTTTTGATTAAGCTATTCCTTAAAGCAATGGTTCTCACCCAGGAGGCCAGGGCTCACTAGGGGGCTGTAGGACTTCAGTACTTCAATAATAACTCATTGGTATATTATTATTTTATATATTAAAATAATCTGAATTAAGAAACAAGTGTAAAGTGAAATGTCTATTTTATCTTTTACATTTTTTTTTAAACAAGCAACTTACAGTAGAAATACCAGAAATATCTTAACAAGGGGCCTTCAAGTCAAAGAGGTGAAATTAAGTAAATGATGGAAAGTAAAACTGAAATGAAATAAAAGACAGAAAGCGTCAGTTGTGAGGAAAGAAATATGACTGCAATTTCATGCATATAAAACTCATCTTCATTAAGAATTAAAAAATGAGACAGAAGCATTTCCCAGGGGTTTCTCGTCAGATTTGGGATAAACAGAAATCTCAAGTCAACACATTGTTATACTTTTTTTATTATTTTTATTGAGAAATAATTTTTTGTTGGTTTGCCATTAAGAACTAGAGTGAGGCAATCATTGAATAACAAAACAAACAGAAAATACTTATTGCCTCTTAGAAAAAAATAGAGAGAGATGGTAAAAGCGCATAAAATTTCACACAACTAAAATAAAAATTCTAAAAAAACTAAAAAACATCCATTTAATAATATCCATAAATGAACTTAAGTAAAACTTCTTGGTGGAATTCCTTTTGACATTTGTCTATAAATGTGGCTCTGATTAGCTCTCTCACTCTACAGTGAAACCACCTCTCGCACATACCGACAGCTTCCCTTCTCAGAAAACACTTTGTCTGCCCACATTGTGGATAAAGAGAGCATTTGTACAAAAGGATCTACTACAATAATGTCAGTGCGGGTCAGTTCTGTCAATATCGGTATAATGAGTGCATTCTAACAAGAAAAAAAAAAGCAGCAAGTTCAGGAAACTGAGATGGATATTGGCATTGACATTGTTTGTGGGCAGGAAAGAGCAAGTGAGGAATGAGTTAATGCCAACAGTGTGGATATCAGTTATCAGGGCCTTTGAAATTCCTCTAACCAGACAGGCAATCTTTAAGGCAGGCCCCTCAAAGCCAAGCCACAGACTGACAGCCTGTTGGGTCTGTTCCCTCCAGTGGTCACTTCGGGAGCCCAGAATAATGCAGTGCAGCCTTGAACCCATCCATCAACCATATTTCCTTTAGCCTGTGGATCAACGCTACGCTTTACCATAGAGAGAAAAGGTCAGTCATTTTAGGTTCCCCACTGTTGGTGGCATAACTCTGACAGGCAGGCAGGGAGGGGGCACGACGGACGTCCGCAGACGATGTGACAAACAAAGCCTCTGGGACGGCAGCAGTTTAAAAGGTCAGTCTAAAATTGGAGTTTCTGTCACACTCGTAACTGACAGGTTCTTGGCTCTTTCGTTAGAGTCCTTCCTATTAATTGCTATAAAATAATCGTCATCAAATGTACAAACTGTAACATTGCTGGTTTGGCCATTGTGCAGCCCCAAGTTTATACTAAACGAAAGATTTAATTCCTAGTGCTCTCATCCCATCAGCAGTCAGGATGTGTAGAGGGGGGGGGACTGACATACATACACAAGGTTAACGTGTAATATATTCAGTGGGCAGAGCAATTAACATTTAAAGCCATTAGCATACTTGGATATACATAGAAACCTTATGTCTCGCTGATCTGTTTGACATGAGCTACTAATTATACTCTAATAATTCATTTGTATTAGCATGTGCCTCTTCTGCAGTCCTGCAGTGTGTAGACAATATGTGTCATGACCAACACTAACAATTGTCTTCTATAATAAACCAAAATTATGTTAACCTTTATTTGGTGGCTTGTTGATTAGCCAGTGTTTTATATTCAAGTACACTGGATATAGTAGAGTACATTAATTGGAAGGGTGGCCTCCCTAGAGAGGGATAAAATACTATAGTCTATTGATTTTTTTGTATAAGGGAGTGCTGTCCCAAGCAATATTTGACATACAGTACACAGCGTACTGTACAGGGCAGTCTCTGGGACTATATGAGGATTTTTCAGCTGTTAGATCTGTGAACTTTGTCCTACAAAGGCTGTAACAGGGATCACATAAGTGAGAATCATTGG